GGTGTTCAGTACATGTGGGAAAAGATTATCCTCAATTTTAATCAGCCGAAAGAGTATCATCACTACCACCACAAAGCAGTTTTATCTATATTTTTTAGTCAATCCAAGATTAACAGGATTAGGGTACTTCTCACCTTTTGCGCGGCGTATTTCTCTGATAAAGACTTAGAACTTATATCGTGGACGAATAAATGCGCAATCAATACTTGCTTTTTATTTATAGGAGAGCAGATTATATCTCTGATGCCTCACTGGCAAAATTTCATGAAATTTCCAGCACATAATTAGGTTACCACAAAATGTGGAATGTCATTGTTTAATGGTAAAAAATTGTGATTGTTGGATATTTCTCAATAACAGAAAGAGCGAGGAGATCACCAAAGATTTTCGCCACATCATAAGCACGATATGTACCAAAATAGCTTGCATCAGCGTTTTTCTTTCAATGTTTCATTATTTACGAGAAAAATTAAACACTGCTAAAATTAACAGTCGCACGTTTGTATTGGAAAATTGTGTTAGCGAAATAAAAAGAGACACTAACTCATAAACTCGGCAGCTTAATAACAATCCCTGACGCACTTTTTTTACAGCGATTGTGTACATTAAAGACGGAGTGTAAACATTAACGAGTTGCTAATACCACGAGACACATATCCATTCTATACATGCAATACTAAGTCAGAAATTGGACACGGCAGAAATCAGCATTTTCTGACGTGCAGCGCCGTGGCCTGAGTCCACCTACGACATGTACGCGGGGCTAATCGCCCATACGCTCCTGACCTACCGCCTTCACTCCTGTCGTTATATGGAGACCAGAGCATGTACACAGGTCGGCACATAGTAGTTAGGCACCTCGAATAAAGTTGGAAAATGAAAAATTGGTAAAATTTTTCCTAAACTTGGAGATTCCTTAACAAACTTATTCTCGTATATTCAAATAAACTTTTGAAAGTGCACAAACCAAGACATTTTACCAATAGAACTTACTGTCTTGGTGTTTGAGTAATAGGGGGCCTCTTTCTATCAATTGGTGTCCCCAATGGACTTTATAATTCGGCCTAGGGTCTCTGGTCCACTGGGGTATACTGATGGACGCAGTATCCCCAACAAACCTGTCCACGGCACCAACTTCCTGTGACCGTCCATGGACAATCGTACGGACCGACATTTCACTTAAATTTTTGGGGCAAGAAAATTGCATATTAAGATTTGCTTCTAATGGAGATTTTTGACACTCTTATAATATCATATTTTTATGATCCCCCGGCAACAGAAATTACTACAATTATGCCACTAAGGCAAACAAAAAATACTTTGGTTCGCGGTCACATGGATTGCTGAAATTTAGGGGTCGTAGGGTAGGCATTAACATTTTTTTTTTTTTTTCCTGCCAGAACATGGTGTAGGCAGGACATATAATTTTTTTTTCACAAGTTTAACTATAGGGATTAGTGATGCGGAATCGGCTGGAATTTCATAATCGATTATTGGTTTCCCCTTAACCCGAGTCGATAATCGATTATAAGCCGGCTCGCATTACATCGGTTATAATACGCATAGATTTAATTTAATCTTACTTCTGTATTATTACTACAATTATACATAGCATTCATAGTTACTCATTCGTTTATGATCATGTATTAACTCTGTGCAACGAGTTGATGTGATGCTATATCAATGCTCTGTTCCCGCCTATACATAGTTTAATCAATTTAAAAAGAAATGGTTTTAAAATGCCTTTATTAAAACATATTAATCAGTTTTTAAACAACATGATCAGATTGTTCTTTATTATAGTAAGTAAGTTGTTTGTGTTATCTAATTAGCTGTAGGCTGTGTAGCCGAGTTAACGTGTGCCTTGCCAATGGAATAATTCTATCCAAATAACACGCAATGTAACACACTTACGGAGAGCTAGAATCGTCAGTTACGGATAATCTTTTGTTTGGGCACAGTGTCAATAACCTTTATAAACAAAGACATACTGTCCAATTTGTCATGTCTATAAGTACACTAGTACTGCTTGCAATCAGAAGAGAGACTATGTTGCAACAGTACGTGATTCATGAAGGTGTATCCTCTGCGCACTACACACTGATGCACTTTCTACTTTCGTAGCAATACAGTGCTCCTATGTCGCGATTTAGTAAATTAAAAAAAGATAATTTTTAGTTTTTTTTTGTATTTTGGTATTATCGAATAATTCTGTTTTCAGTAATCTATTATCGAATTACTGAGAATAATCGATATCGATTTTCGGATTATAATCAATCATCGGAGACATCACTAATATAGCGGTATTACAGCTGTTAAAATGCAGCGGAGCACGGATGCAAATGAGACTTGCAGTTGATTGTACACATTGCTGCACAAGTCGATGACATTGTTGTCACAAAATGTGAACAACCGAGTCGTTTACTGGTGTTCGGATGTACTGGTATTCTGTGTCGTTACTGCGATAGTTAGTGTTAGAATCGGCTCCAAAACGGTACGCTTGAATAATTCGTCCACTTTGAAACAACGCCGACGGTAACCGAAGTGTAAACGCGCTCAATTGCGGCGTGAATAGGTTAGCCCCGATAGCATGCGTATACTATATAGTACGCGCATTCGGATCGCGTACATCCAGAGCCGGGCGCTGCGGCGCATACGACTTCAGGCTTCTGAGTGTGTGTGGAAGTTAGTACGGCCGGCACCGGCGCCCAGGCTCTATTACGATGTTTCGACGTTGTAGGATTCTAGAAAGTAGTGGTAGGAACTGCTTTCAGCTTGCGGCGCCAACGAAGTTCTGTTATTAAATATTATTGGTATTTTGGAACTCTCCTTAGGTAAATAAAATGACAAGAGTCGGATATTTGAATATGTATGATCGGCAGGCGGTATCTTTGAATTTTATTTTTTCTTGAAACCCTCTAAAAGTGACCGCAGTCGCACATTTTATCACTCCGAAATGTGAAGTCGGGCGGGTGACCCGAACCAAAGGGAATTTTTAGGTCGGCCTAACTGGAATGAAATATATATGACCTACTTAGCTCTAGTACTATAGCCCGCGTACAGTTGCCACAGGGCTATAGAACATTTTATGCCAGGTTTCGTAACTGCACCTGTCCCCCAATGTTTCCACAAAAAATGGCTCACAAAACGCAGAATGATCAGGCTTTTTAACACTTATTTATCTACATGGACACCTCACCTATCTTTTTCAACACTTTCCACAACTTTACACCCTGTATTTATGCATTTATTCCTCAAAGTGCTAGCACTACTTGCATTTTCATTGCATGTTGTTGTGTACACGCCAGGGGCGGAATTAATTTTTATTTTTTAAGGTCTACTTTTATTAGAGCCTTGGGGCTATTTTTTGTTTTAGGGGCTACTTTTTCGTTGCACGTTGAACGTTGTGGAAAGGGAATGAAGGTATCGGCTTTTGCTTGCATGTTACAGCGCTATACGAATCAGCGCTGTAATGATCAACTGATTCTAATCGCTTGCTTCAGTACGACTAGTCTTCGACCGATACGGTTTGTAAAAAGGTGTTTATTTTCCACAGCACAGCACTCAGTACAGTATGTTGTTTACGAATTACGATCGATGTAAAAGATTACCAAAGACCGGTAATGCGACTATCACGTTGTACCTGGGGTACGGTGAATGTTGAGCTAGTTTTCGCGGGTCGCAGTGAAAATTACATACAGGATACAAAATTACAAATATTACAAACATATTAATAAATCATGACACAAAATTATTATACAATATATAGCACAAATAATAATAAAATGTTAACATGCATTCAGCATGTTAACATTTTATTA